TTGTTGTGTACAGTTAAATGTTATCAAACTAAATATTCAGCTACTTTATACTTCTACTACTCTATCTCAGAGGCAAATACTGTACTTTTTGCTCTACTACATTTATTAGCCTACAGGTAGCTTGAGTTTCTAGTTCCTTTGCAGATTTATATTAATGTAAAACAAAAATCAGTTAATAAATTCTTAAGCTACCCAACAGTATATACATAATAGTAATTAAAATGAGCCCCAACATTGCCGATTGCAGTGTTAAAGATGCACACATTAAAGCATCAAAAACTATAATTCAGTAATGTACATTGATCAGGCATAACATTATGACCACCTGTACATCTGTATGCACATTTGTGTTTCATTATGGAGGTCATAGTTAAAGGTAGTGTTGTACTGGACTACATTATATTCAGAGGTGTCTGTATTTTTTTGTCCTGCTCAATGACCTACATAAGAGGGTCAGAATATTAGGAACACCTCTGAATATAATGTAGTCCAGTACAACACTACCTTTCACTATGGACATGTATTGAATTTCATATATTGACAATCTCACCAAAAACTGAAACATTTGGGCTTCATAAACACAAATGTTAAGTCAGAAGTGTTGCATTGACCCAGGTGGTCATAATGTTATGCCTGATCGGTGTATATTACTCCGAAATGGGCCATTCTGCACTTTTATTTTTGGTACTTTTAAGTGTATTTTCTGCTTAAGGTTTTGAGTTCAGGACATTTGCTCTTAACAGAGCGGCCTATTTTTACACTGTGGTATAACTACTGATCCACCTCTGCGCTGGCAGTGTGATAAGCTTTAATTTTATTGTCATTGCAGTGCCTGTCTGTGGGCCAGTCGGTAGATTACTGCCTTAAAAATCTGCTGGTAAATGTGTTGCTAGTCCAGCAGTTGCACCTGTCCCTGCATAGTTTATGCCTCTTGCTGTTGTTGTGCTTCAGGAGTGTTTCATGTTTAAAGTTTGGGGTCATGTTGGCCGTTATTTTTCTGTTGACAGCATATAAAGTACACAGTGTTCCTTTCTTTGCACTATCTCAGCCACCTGCATGACCCAATCTTATCAGAAAAAGTAGATTTTTGCCTTTTTCAACACCTGCTCACCTTCTGATTCCTGTAGCGGCATTGGTGGGTCTGAATAAGCTTTGGTTTCATTGTCACCAAAGATCTAAGACAGAGAGAGAATAGGCTGCTTGAGGACTGGTAGGTGACATCCCGCACAGATTCATCCCCGGACTGTGTTGTTATGATGACCATAGCCTTGCCATAGACACACACACACACATACACACACACACACACACACACACACACACACACACCAGTTCTCACTGCCTCCTGGTGCATTGTGATATATGATGATGACTGAACAAAAAAATGGGGCATATTTGCAAGTTGCCCCTAGTTATAGAATTTAGTCACACTGTTGGTAAAAAAATAGTCGCACAATGTGACTAATTGGTCATAGTCTGGAGCCCTGTATCAAGCTTCCTAGTGTGAGACTGAGAGAGACACATTGTACTTTGCTCTTGCACAGGGCACATTATGAACCACTTCTCTGTGATTTCAAGCCAAGAACACTCATGCCTCTGTCCTTAAGATTTCACTGTTTCTTTCTCTGTATGTGTCCACGGAGAACATCCTGGTGCCTCTAAAGCAGTATTCTGGCCACCCTCAACCTGTCACATATTTTACCTTCAGGGTTTAGACACAAATACCTTATGACCCCATCCCCATCTCCTATTAACCTTTGTATCAAACTGTGATGTCTGGATGATAACATCTGATCACAGACCTTTGCATTTATACCTGGTATAAATACAAAGGTATAAGCCATGTTTTTATCTCAGTTATTTTGATTTTATTATGATAATCAATTAATTGTCATTTTGCAAGCATAGATGCCAAAATTTGACAAATTTAAGTTCTCAAATGTTGGATTTTGTTGAGTTTTGTAGTCCTACATTTTCGAATATTTTTATCTCTGACTTTTGGCCAGAGCTGTTTTCTAATGTTTTATAAACTGAATTATTAATTTATTGAGAAAATAATGGTCATAATAGTTAATAACCGTTATTTGCAGCCCTAATATGCAAACTAGATCTGCTGTGACTTACCGTGTGAGAACATCTAGGAAGCCAAGACCAAATCATAGGGCTGACACTGTTGGTGCTTGGAACAGTAAAAAGGTAGGCGGAGCTGGCACACTTGTCAGCAACATCTCCACACCAAATTTGGTTGGTAAATCTGATAGTATTCCCATTGTCATGTTTTCCAAAGGCATTTACATCTCAGACATATATCACATGTTAATTCTGGGGTTACACTGGGTTCAAGATGTGCTTTCATGAAAAGAAATTTTTTTGTATTATTGCTTGCCTTACTGCCTCTGCTCTTTTCACAGTCTTGCTGAGCTGTTGAACACAATAATCAACTTCAAAATTTCCTAAAATCTTTTCTGTTTATGGGAAAGTAATGTCACACATATATGTCAGTGGCTGATTTCAGCCACATGGTAGTGCAAACAAACAGTGAAAGCAGTGTGGATGTAGTAAAACATACATTTCCGGTGTGTAATGTGTTAGAGCAGTATTTCAGAGCTAAGACATTAACCTCTTTAACTCAATCCTATTGAACCCATCATACTATTTAAAGTTAGTGAATATCTTTGTGGAATGTCCAGAAGATCAAGTAGCTTTAGCACTTGACGAAATAATGGATGATGCGGTTCAGGTTGAATGTGGCTTCATTCTCACACCGAAGCCTGGATGTTTATCTCTCCATACCATCTTACCACCTTTATACAGGTGCAGCTAAATAAATTAGAATATCGGGGAAAAGTCCATTTATTTCAATAATTCAACTCAAATAGTGAAATTCGTGTATTATATAAATTCAGTACACACAGACTGAAGTAGTTTATGTCGTTGGGTCTTTTAATTGTGATGATTTTTCTCACATTTAACAAAAACCCACCAATTCACTATCTCAATAAATTAGAATACCTCATAAGACCTATAAAAAACATTTTTAGTGAATTGTTGGCCTTCTGGAAAGTACGTTCCTTTACTGTATATGTACTCAATACTTGGTAGGGGCTCCTTTTGCTTTAATTACTGCCTCAATTTGGCGTGGCATGGAGGTGATCAGTCTGTGGCACTGCTGAGGTGGTATGGAAGCCCAGGTTTTTTGACAGTGGCCTTCAGCTCATCTGTGTTTTTTTGTTTCTCATTTTCCTCTTGACAATACCCCATAGATTCTCTATGGGGTTCAGGTCTGGTGAGTTTGCCGGCCATTCATGCACACCAACACCATGGCCATTTAACTAACTTTTGGTGCTTTTGGCAGTGTGGGCAGGTGCCAAATCTTGCTGGAAAATGAAATCAGCATCTCCAAAAAAGCTGGTCAGCAGAAGGAAGCATAAAGTGCTTTAAAAGTTTTTGGTAAACGGGTGCAGTGACTTAGGGCACTGGGTCCAGTTCTCCTTAGTCCAGCTAAGACACCTCTGATGTTGTCTGTGGTTCAGGAGTGGCTTGACAAGAGGAATACGACAACTGTAGCCAAATTCCTTGGCACGGCGGTGTGTGGTGGCCCTTGATACCTTGACTCCAGCCTCAGTCCATTCCTTGTGAGGTTCACCCACATTCTTGAATCAATTTTGCTGGAGAAGCCTCTCAAGGCTGCGGTTCTCTTGGTTGGTTGTGCATCTTTTTCCTACCACTCAACTTT